TCAGCAAGCCTAATCTTAAAATGAGATGAATTGAAATGAGAAGACTCAGACTGAAACATACAAATAGCCTTAAATAGCTGAAAGTACTCTGTGCGTTTGGAAAGTGCAAAGCATTTAATTTTTAAGATCCCTTCCGTGCTTCCATCAGAACCATATGGAGATTTCATATCCTTATATTCTACGCCTACACTATCCTACACTATAATTCACACTAGAATATAGTGGCCAAATACATGCACTAGTTTAAAACATAATTGTATATATGCATATTAGCTCTACAGTATGGTATTTTTTTCCTGAGCTTACACAGTTATGACTGAGAGCAAAGGTCATTGAAATGTATTTAGTCATCTGCATCCATCTATTTAATTTAGAGTTTCCCCCCTCAGGTATTAATTTCTATTTACAATTAAAATGCAGATTGGCTAATAACTCTCAAGAAAACAAGACTGCTGGTGAAGGATCATCATGTGCCAGGATGCTACTTTCATACAAGATGGAGATCTCTTTCTAGTTTTAAGAATTTCTCTCTTAATTTTCAGAAGTTCAAATGACATAACAATCTTTCAATGTATTTCAAATGCTCAGCAGCTATAGAAATCAGACTGCCTTATCTGGGATGTCATAATGTCAATAATTGATCTAACACCAAGTGCTTGGTCTCTGCATAGAAGTAAAGGAAGAACCCAGAAACTGGAGGAAAAATTTACTGTCTTTGATATCTCAACTCTCCAGTCAAGTTGCTGTACAGAAACAAGCCTCACCTATAAATACTGGTGTTTTAATACTGTTTAACCATCTTAGGAGTGACACTATAGCTGTTTGCTTCATTGGCCAAGCAAAAAGTGCTCAAACTGTAAGAACACATGACTCATGCCACCCCTGGGGAACCCTGCAATGCTTATTGACCAGAATTCCAACTGCAGTGACACTACTAGGCTGTCAAATGTGGAATACCCATTTTGGGGATGGTGAGATATAATCTTGTTTCTCCTGTGTACCCAGTCTATTCAACTAAAGTTTAGACAGTCTTGTCCCCAACAACTGTTGCATCACATAAAGATTCTTTTCATAGCATCAATACATTCTGTACAGTATAACTTTTGTAAAGCATAAATTAATGTATTATGATCAAATATACATGTAGTTTGTATATTAATATTAAAAAGGTTTATCAAAACAGAATTAAAATTGAGCTTTGAAAACCAAACTTTCTGATTTTCAAAGGCTGTGGTTTGTTGTATTTTGGTTTTTTGTTTTGTTTTTGTCTGTTTGTGTTTGTTGTTTTGTTTTGACTTTTGGGGGTTTGGGCTTTTTTTGGGGGGAGGGTTTGGTAGAAAATACTGCATTTTTAAACACTTTGTTGAATTTGGTTTGGGGGCTGTGTTTTTCTTTTTAAGCAAATAAGAAGAATATGGGAAAACCCTTGGTATAGTTGTAGACTCCCTGATAGAGGTGTAATTTCATGTAATGTGATGTTACTATGACTTCCTCTCTTTTTTTTTTTTAAATTAAAAATATTAGAACTAGAGCTGGGCAGGACTTTTTCTACACAAAGTACACTGCTGAAAAATTCTCATTAATTAAAAACAATGGTGAGAATCCATTTCTTAAATGTCTATCTTTTGCCCACTCAGGTACAAGGTCACCCTCTCTACCCTTTATAGTCAATTAGGAGGCACAAATTATCAGAAAAGTCATTCATGTCCTTCTAACACAGGCCCTTCCAGATGGTAATTGAGCTCACCCCAGTCAAACACCTCTCTGAGAGCGTGACAAACCACCTTCAGGAATGTCTCTTTCTCTCCACTGGCCATCAAGGGTAGACAGAGTGACTGGCTCATAGCTCAAGATTTTCTTAAGTCTGTGATAGAAATTGCATCTAAAATGTTTGCTAAAACACAGTGTCAACTTTTCAGGTTCTGCCATTGTCTGCCAGCCAAGGAACTCAGGTACCACGTTACCCCAGACTCCACAGCACGGAGAGCCAGCATGGAAGAGTTCATTCCCAGGAAGTTTGACATACATACATACATACATACATATATATATATATATATATATATTTCTTTTTACTTAAGATCATGAAACTATCTGAAGCACCAAGGTTTCTTATGAATCAGAAATTCTTGACTGAACAACTCCAGCTGGAACCCTGTTTATTTCTGGACTTCGATATTTGAGGATGAGGCGTTAGAAAAATGCAGCTATTTTGACACCTGGTTTCAATCCAGTTAATAACTTTGCACCTGATGTATTCTTCCCCATTAAGTCAAATTTATGCTAATACTGTCCTGATTAGCAAATACTATTTAAAGCTGTTTTATGGGATGATTCCTGAATAAGGCGGGTGTCTAGATTCAGTGAATTTCAGCTATGAGATTATAAAACAACATAAACTTCACAAGTTGTCTGTAGGTATCCCTGCAAAACAGTGAAATAGCCTACAGGATGACAAGTAGTGACAATTAGGGAGAGATCTTTCTCATGCTGGGCAAATCTTTGCTTTTACTGAATACAACACAATCTCTAGCACTGGAAACTGCAGAAGTCCAGTGTTTAAGTTCCTTTATGGAAAATTCAGTTAGCCACATGAAACTCACTCACTTCTGAAGATACAGGTCTTGAAACACAGAGTATGTACTTAAATAATTCCAAAACTGGATTGCATAGGTTGTGCTCTGCAGGGCTTAATGAAAGGTGAAGCAAAGGGCACCGAGCTGACGGGCTCAGCATGACAACTACGTATCTTCTGAAGGAGCAACATCTCTGGCCCCTCTGCACTACATGTCACGGCATGGTGTGGGCAGACCTTAAGTCATTCTGTAAATCATACTGTATCCCGAAAGACATCTTTTCTTCCTTTTTTTTCTCTCTGAAAAATGCTTCGGGCAGTAACTTCACATCTACAACACTGCTTCTCTTTAGGATCTAGAAGAAGCAGCAAAGGCACAGGAGGGATACATTTTTGTCCTCTTTTGATTCATTTGAACTCTGAGGGAAACACCTAATAAAGTATTTACAGCGTGCTGTTTTCAAAGCGCTATCTATTAAAATATTAATAACCTGTTCATCTCAGCCCCCTGGTGAAGCAGGTGATTTCGTGTTTCTACTAGAAGCAGAAGTATTTAGAAGGAAAGGATAATTTTCAGACCTGAACACAAAAAGCGCATCTTCATGTTTGACTGTTAGAAGAGGATATTCCATATAAATCAAGATATCTAGTTTTAAGGCACTAAGGGCAAAAGTGCACACCAAACAATACAATTAGTCTGCACTTGTGTAGGTTTTTTCTGGTAGTATGGAAGACAATTTCAGATTACATTTAAATTACAGGTCAGGTCTGTCATGTACAAAAGCAACTACTATTTTCTTGTAAAATGGCAGTGCCGCTGGTTACTTGGCATATGAGAGGCAAGTTAATCTCTTTTTCTCTCAGGGAATTTCTACCCACTTCTCTTGCTCTGAGTCCTGGAATAACAGCAAGGAGCAGAGGCTGCCCTTCTAGCTGAAACTGGTTTTCTCTAAAAAAAAAAATCCAATAATTAAAACCACTTTAGGCTAGAAAAAAAGTTGTATGCTTGTAGGTAAATATTCAGCTAGAAGAAGTCAGTCCTGTTTAATGTCATGTTTAAGCGGCCAGGACTATTGCGCCCCAATAATCAAGTCTCTGGCAAGGGACTCATGGTGAATATCAGAATACAACGTTTGTGTTGCACACCTTCTGGTGTAGCAAGTCTGGATTTAGACACTGCAGTAAGGCAGCTGGAGCTCAGCTTTGTTGTGCCATTCTGTATTGCTGGTTTTAACCCTTAATGCCAGCTCCAATTAGGATGGTAAACCCTCTGTTGAAATTATGTGTCTATACCACATCCTCATTTTGCAGCCTCACACCCAGTAGCTCACTGGCCAGAACACTCTATGGGCAGATTTTAACTCTCTATTTGAGGGAAATCTAACCACATTCTCCCATTTTGGGTGCTAGCTAGCTACTAATTAACTTGACTAATTAACTTAACATTATTCTTGGGTTTTTCTGTTGTAACTCTTCCAAACCTAGGGGAGTTGGAACTGAGAAAAAGAAAGATACGGAGAATGACTCAGTAATTTAATGGCTGAGAGAGAAAAGACCTGAAATTCCATCTGCCTCACTTAAGGATTTTATAGGCTATATATAGGCTTCAGCTCTTTCCAGAAGGGTTGGATTAGAGGCAAAAAACCACAACAAGCTAGAATTGATTTGATAAAAAAGGATGTTACTGGTGAACAGACTCAACAGAGTAGTCAAGAGAGGCAAAGGGACATGATACAAAATGGAGAAAGGGGGCAATATAGACATGGTACAAAGTGTAGAGGTCCAGCCTTGGTCCCAGAAAATCAGCTTGGGCAGTGCCTTCTGCAGGTGCTTTGTGTCCAACCAAGAGAGCAGCCTCAGGATCCAGCTCTGCCTTCCTCAGAGCATCTCACCACCTCGGTGGGAGTGGAAAAGCCCTACTCTCCTCATTGTCTGGTCTCTGCTGCCTGTAATGCTTTATTTCAGACAGAAACACGTACTCTTGGAGAAAGTTCAGAGGGCAAGTTAAGGCTATGGCAGTATCTGTTCAGTCCAGAGGCTGTAAGAGCTTATCTTTATTCCCTCAGCAGCGGCCTGAAGAAAGAGACACCTGCCTCAAAGACACGGACACTGGCAGATCCCTTGGCTGCGTGTTTCGGGGCACTTCCCGCCTTGTTGCCACCTGGAGCAGCGCGGCCCCCAGGACACCCCAGGGACCCGTCCCCTCACGGCCGGGGCGGGGCGGGGCGGGGCGGCGCGCGCACAGGTGCGGCGGCTCGCGCCGGGCTCCCCCCACCTCGACGAGCACTGGAGCGGCGGGATCACCCTCCCGGCGGATGGATATTTCACCTGCTGGCTCCTGGTGACCCCCCCCTCGGCTGACCACCGCCTCTCCGTGCCCTTCCAAAGCCAGGCTCGGTTGCGGCCTAATCGGCCTTCCCACAGTATGAAGTATCGCACCCCGTCGCGGGCTTCCACGGCGTGCTTTCGCTCTTTCGAAGAATCTGCGAGGAAGGGGCGACATCCGTTGAGCGCGCATCTTGCAGACGCGCGGGACGTATTTTTCGTCTCTGGCGGCATAGGGGCTGCTGGGGTGGAGGGTCGTGTGGCGCGGCGCGCCGCGAGCAGCGCGAGAGGGAGGCAGACAGACAGGCAGGCGGGCGTGCGTGCCGCGCCCGCAAGTAGTTCCGGTTGAGGAAGTCAGCCGCTCGCGGCCGGCCGGTTCCCGTGGCCGCGCCCCCCAGGGCAGGAGCCGCTCCGCCCCCGCTCCCGGCCGCTCGAGCCGCCGCCACTGCCACCCCGCTCCTGCCGGGAGAAGGCGCATAAGCAGAACGAGCAGCACCAGCGGCCATCCTGGCCAAAAGCTGCTGCGGGAGGAGGACAACAAGTACTGCGCGGACTGCGAGCCAAAGGGTACGCGGGCGCGGGGACGAGGGGCCGCCCGGGCGCGGCGCTGCCCCCGCGGGTCCCGCTCGGGCTGCAGGACCGGAGGGCCGCGCACGCCGCAGGGGCGGCCGCGGCAACGGCTGGCGGCCCTTCCCGGCCCCTGCGCCCGGGGGGCGGCAGCCGCGGATCGGACCGGATGGCGGGCCCGGGGCAGCGGCGGTGCGGCCGGGGCAGACAGCCTGTCCTTTCGGTGCCGGCCGCCTCCCGCTCCTCCATGGGCTGGGCTGTAGCTGCCTTGTCCTCTGGCGAGGAACCCCCAGCTGGGGCTTTATGCAATGGCTGGCCCAGCCCTTTCCTGAAGTTTCACGGCCGCGTCCGCTTCCTGCGCTGCCAGGTATCGATCGAGAGCGGGCTGTGGCCTTCGGGAAGGGACTGGCCAGTGCCGGGGGTAGTTGCCAGATGAGTTGAATGCCGACTGTCCAAAACAATATACCCTGTGATGCTGACTCAGTCAAAATGCCAGGCTTTGTGAATCTGGCTGTCTGTGTCTGATTAAATGTGTCACAGATGTAGCTTTGGTGATGAATGAAATTTTAGAGATTATATCGCTGTCAAATCTTACATTTCTTTTGTCTAGTGGGTTTTCTTTCCTACACAAAAGTAGATACATATTTGTGTTTGTATTTACTTTGGATTCTGTAGCTTTGAAATAGAAAAACGTAGCACATCCCTCTTTCATCTAGAGTCAATTAATTAAGATCTTACCCTAAATAAGATGACTGCACTGTAAGTTATTAAGTGTAATGCTTCCTGAATAACGACCAGGGGTTCTCACTGTATGATTAGTCAGAGCCGCCTTGTTCAGTCCTTCTCCATTCGAGTGGAGGTGAAGTACAGTGAGCTTTGTTTGAGCAACCAGAAATGGCACTGTGTTTGTAAATTCTCTTTCCAATCTCCATATGCTGATTTTTTTTGCCACTGACATAAGACATGCAGTGCCTTGAACAATGAGAAACAGGACTGTATTTTCCTAAGATATAACCCTAAGAATTATATGATGTGAATTACACCAAAGGTAATAGATCTTTATATTTTGTAACTCTTAAACATTTTCTAGTACAGTTCTTCTTGCCTCCTGACTTCTGGTTACCATGTAAAAGACTCATTGTAACTGGCGGTTTTCTGGAAAAAACATGTTTGTATGTTTTGTGTGTTATTGGCACTTCAGGTTTCTGTGCTGAATGCTGCTCTGAGTTGCTTCCTGGTGGAATTCCCTATATATATTGTTCTATAGCGTAGGCCTTAGGGCTGTGTTGCTCAAGATCAGAGTCTGGAATTCTCCAATTACTTTTTGTTCTACCTTCTGAGTTTCCTCTTTCTAACCATCACCTGGTCAAAGTATTGTTTGTAAGTCTCTGTAGTCCTTGATGCTTGGTAACTTTTGCCCTTTCAGTTCAACAGTGCTGACACTTTCATCTTCCTCTTCCTTTAATGTGTTAATTAATGTATAATAATGTATTTTTATTCACTGTTCTTTTCTTTGGTGTTTTGTTTTGTAAGATCAAGCTTCAGTGTATCTTGAATTTGGTTCTTTTCTGTTCAGGTTCTGGAGGACCTACCAATCTTGACCTGGCTGCCTTCTGCTAGTACCTCTTAATTCAGTTTCCATCCTTCTAGTAAACTATTTTACTTAAGTCTGATGGGGCTTCTGAAGGCTTCTTGCTTTTCCCTTTTGCTCAACTCTGCTTCTCCTTTGCTGTCTGTCTGTGTGTCAGAGGCATGGCTTGCTTTTACCCTGTCCTCCAGGAAAGCTGGCCTGAAAATACTGGATTGATGCAATTTGAGGGAATTATGGGTTGTTTATTTATTCTCTTTCTCTCTTCAAGTTTAATTTTTACTTTCTTCATCCTGTTCTAGCAACTCTTCTTTTAAGTCTTTTATCATATTAGATTTATAGTGCTATCTGACTTTGCCTGTACTGTATTAAGTGTATGTTTTTTTATAGATGGAGAGGAGTGTGTGGAATGATAAAGATGCTTTAGTTGCAGCTGTTCTAGAGGTGCTTGACTGAGAGATGGTCATATATGCTCAGTCTTTGTAGATTTCTTTCCTTAAGTTAATGAAGTTTCTTTCCAGGAAGGAGAGTTGTGTGAACAAGTTGACATGCTTTCACTATGCCCTGAAGTCTGGATTTCTGTATACTTCCAGTAGACATAGCTCAGAAAAAACCCCAAGATCAATTGTTTAGTTGAAAATCAAGCTTGTTATGAGCCTGTAATGCCACTGTTGAGCTCTTCCTTGTTACATCAGTCTTTGTTAAAACTTCATGTTAACAAAATAAGTGAAAAATCTGCAGCCAGCTAGCAGTTTTTTCCTAATATGTTACACGTTTAATCCATGGTGTTTGAGTGCTCATGACTTGCTGCCGTCTGGCAAAGCTGTAGTTTTGCTAGTCCTGGAATGCAGTGCTGTCTGAGGCAGTAGCTATTAACATGGCTCTGTTAAGCTAACCAGAGTCTGTCAGGTCTTTGTGTGACTTTCCCCAGACTGTGACAGTCTCCTTCACCTCTTGCAACACTAACAGCATCCCTTTCATCTCTGGTCATGTTTGTCATTAGTCTGGAGTTCCCTTTTGCCACTTCCAGTAGGGAGCCTCTTCATCCTGGATTCTGCAGACATGGACATGAAACCACTCATGACAAAATATTTAGGACTTCTGCCAGTCCTAGTTCATGTTTTGTAAAAAGCATGTTTTTCCTTTTGTTAATGTAATTTATTCTGTTTTCTTTGAAATGTTGTCTGCTTTAGTTTCTGTTACTTCCCTCTCTTGCGTGAACTTTGCTCCATTTTCTGTCATTCTCTTCTCTGTTGCTCAGTAGGATCCCCTGAGTTCTATTTTTTGGGTTTTTTTCTGCTCACCTAATTGTGAGGTAACACCGTCTTCGGGATTAACTCTGGTTGTGTTAACTGTGTTGCATTTGCATCTCGGGTCTTGTTCTGGCACTGTTTAAAAACATTGTTTTCAGTATGGTCTTTCAGATAGCTGTCAGTTCAGCATGGGTTCTTAACCAAAGCTGTCATCCTTAATTCCTTTCTCTCACCCTAGGTGTTACAGTCTTTCTTAAACCTGAGGTATTATATTTACCCTAGGCTTCTGTCCAGATAGTTGCATCAAAGTCTTGTGGAAATTTTGCAGATTATGCTTGTATATCTATTTTAACTGCTATTCTTTGAGCCTTCAGGAATTCTTAAGTAGATAGGTGTAATTTAAAATCTTATAAATATCTTCTTGACCCTTAAAAATTTAATCTGATCCTATTACTGTATTTATCACTTGTTACTTTCATTGTATCTGCAGTAATGCCACTGTTGAACTCCTTTGTATCATTAAGGCTTCTCCTCTGGCTTGTACTTCTTGCATCAAGAAGATGATCATCAAAACTTACTACCATCCTGTCACTACTAAATTACTGAGTTAGCTCTCCTTGCTCTCAGATATAGGACCACCATCTGTATTTCCTGTGAGGAGATTTGAAGCATGCACCTTTCCTGTATTATCACATGCTTGCTCTGTGTAAGAATTCAAAAAAGTTACTTCTTGGTCTTCCTCAAAATAATCTTCCTGTCATTAATAGTGGTCTTGTATCAAGAACAAACCAATCCTTTGGTTTCTGATCTGCTTTTTCAAGTATGTGGTATGCAGACATGTTAGATGGCTTTGGAAGGTGTAGAATGCAGCTGAGGACGCATCTGCCAGAGTAGCATTAAGTAATAATTAGGATTGCTGACTCTTGCAACAATTTTTGGAAGTGTTTTTTATTCTGTATTTGCCTTTTACCTGTTAAAATAGTTGCTGTGAATCTGATTGTCACTGTTAAAACGTGTTGGAAACTACCTGTCGTAGGGCCATACGGTAGTTGCCATATGTCACCTTCAAACTGTAAATCTTACAGCTGTCAGAAAGAGTAGATGACACTCTGTGGGGAAGAAGCCTAAAAATCAAAGGTTCTGGAACTGTTTTTTCAATCACTGAGACTTTTGGAAGAGTGGGGAGGTTGTGATGACATTTGACAAGGCAGTGCTTGTCTGTGTACTGCCTGTTCTTTACATCCCTGCCTGAACAGCAGTTACAGATACTTACATAAGGCAGTAAATGTCTTCCCAGTGTTATACTACTGGAAAGTAGTTACACTTCTGTTTTTGATATATGTGGGAAATAATAGGATATGGTGGCAGTAGCTTAAGTCACCCTGAAGTTTTCAAAGAGAGGCAGCTGAAATGCCTTTGTGCTCCTTTTCTTTGTATAACTAAGTAAAGCTGGTAGGAACTGGAAGGATCTAGGAGAGGGAAATAGATGGACAAATCTGTAGCTATATCAGGTGTGTAGACTATGCTGAAAGCTGTTGTAAAGCATGTGAAATTTTTCTTCCCTTTCACTGTAGAGGGAAGGTAATGCATTTTTTTATTGTTGTTTCAGTGCTGGTATTTGAGTCCCTTAAGCAATAATACCTCTTAGAGATCTGTCAGATGGAACCAAAATAAAAAACCTGTTAATATCAGTCAGGGACCCTTTGACTATAGGGGATATAATTTGCTATTTCTGTGTGGTTAATACCTACTCATAACATGCCAGAAGTCTCCTGTGTTGTTACTGCTGGGCAGCAAGGCTGGTGTTACTTGGATGCTGATATTAAACAGTACTGAATCAAGTACTTAGAAATTAAAGTGTGTGATGAAGCACAAAAGGAGATGCTTTCTTCTTAGAAGGTGACAGGATATTCACCAGAATCAAAGGTCTGTGCACCTAGGCAAGCAGGCCTGTAGATTGAAGACAATCAGTCTTGGTTGAGTGTTCTTGATTGTCTCTGCAAATGTGGAACATAAGATTGATTACTGTCCCTAACAATGTTTGAAACCAGTGTGAATGTTCTCTGACATACCATTTCTGTTTGCTATGATTGTATTTGGATGCATTTGTCTTTAGTACAAATGGATTGACTACTGAAGACTGCTTGTAAATTCATCTC